GACTCCATGGATTTTACCAGCATATCAGAAGAGTGGATGGAGACCATGACATTAAGCAAAACTTTAGCTGTGCTTATCTGGTACTTTGGTTTACTATCCATTTCCACTCAGATGGAGCTCTATACTGATGATGCAAGAAAGTATTAATTTCTTTTTCTTGATCAAATCCTAAGCCAACTTCAGAGAAAACAGTACAAGAAAAAGCATTTTTATTCTTTATCACAAACTAAGCCTCAAAAACTGTAAACTAAAGACAATGGGAAAATTTACAAGGTTACAAGGAAAACAGTTTAAGGAGATACTACTCCCCACAATTCAACTCAGAAAATACTTCAGAAAAGCATGGGATTCAGTAAATACCTTAAAATAATTTTAACCTCTTAAAACTTTATATCAAACAGGCCTAAGCTCTCAACATGTTTATGCATAATAAACAGACCATAATAGTAGGGTCTGGAAGGCATGGGGTTGCTGACCAATGAATTCAAGTGTGACTCAAGAATATGAAATCTTCAGCTAAAAAGTTAAGTATTCTATGAACTGGGCTAGTCTCCTGGTAATCACAATAGAGAAAGAATGCAAGATTCACAATGTGACGATATGTTAGGGGACTGGAGGCTAAAGCATATAAGGAAAGGCTGCTGGAATTGGATATGTCTAGTTTAATGAAAAAAAGGACGAGGGGGGACATGAGAGCAGTGTTCCAATATCACAGGGGCTGCCACAAAGAAGAGGGAGTCAAGCTGTTTTCCAAAGCACCTGAAGGCAGGACAAGAAGCAACGGATGGAAACTCATCAAGGAGCGAAGCAACCTAGAACTAAGGAGAAACTTCCTGACAGTTAGAACAATTAACCAGTGGAACAACCTGCCTCCAGAAGTGGTGAATGCTCCAATACTGGAAGTTTTTAAGAAGAGACTGGACAGCCATTTGTCCAAAATAGTGTAGGGTTTCCTGCCTGAGCAGGGGGTTGGATTAGATGACCTCCAAGGTCCCTTCCAACTTTATTATTATTATTAACTATACCAGCTTCTTCAAACTGATGCTCTCAAGATACTAGACTACAATTTCCTACTCACTGTCTTTTCTCTTGAATTGTCAGAGTTAAAGACCAATATATTTAAATAACACCAGATTAGAGCGATCAGTTAATAGATCTTCTAGGGCAGTGGTGGCGAACCTATGGCACGCGTGCCAGAGGCAGGACTCGGAGCCCTCTCTGTGGACACATGCGCCATCGCCCCAGCCCCGTCTCCCCCTGCGGCCCCCTCCTCTCCAGAAGCCCCCCTGGAGGAGAGTCGCCCCCCGGCATGGCCTGCATGGAGCACCGCAGCCAAGGACATAGCCGGGCAGCAGGGACAAGACTCCACCGTTGTGCTCCATAGCGTGTAGATGCTGCGGGGTGCGAGCAGAGGGCGTGGCTGCCATGGTACTGCAGGGCTGCCTGGGTGATCTGCTATGGCGGGCCACTGAGGCAGTGCATGGCCCTGTGGGCAGGCGGGCGGGAGGAGTGGGGGGCGGGTTTGGGGCACTCAGTCTCTAAAAGCTTCGCCATTACTGTTCTAGGGTCTGTCTTATAAATTTAAGCAGCAATTAACAGTGCATCAAAATCAGGCTCCAATTTGCCAAACTGCATTTTTCATTTAACTTTCTGACAAGAGCTGAAGTTTCACAAGGCTTCAAGAAAAGGGAGAAAGAGGCATCTGATGATGAGTATGGCATGCCTTATACATACCAAGTGTGCATCATGTGACATTTTCAATGGATGAGCAAACTATCTGCCTTCAAACATACACATATTTGAGATTCTGGAAGTGAATGTACTTTCTGGGATCCCTGATGACTCTTTCTGGAATCCTCAGATGATACATATAGCTCTCTTAAATCTGCCCAAGGTCTCTCTACAAATTAATAACTGAAACTGATTGTAATGTTTTTAAGGCTTACTAAAAACATTTTTTTGCTTTTAAGTTCCCCATCCAGTTTTCCTTGACAGAATGTCAGTCAGAAAATGCTGTACAACCCCTTGTCAAAAAACAGACTTGGGTACAAATTATCCCTAAGTAGGGTTCAATAACTAACCCCCTCCCAAACCCTTAGGGAATGGCATTAACTAAAGAACCATTAGTCACTATCTTCATATAACACTCATTCTCGCCTTTCCTGAAGTACTTCAGCCAGAACTCCAGGACTGCCAGCATTAGCAAAGCTTGCATCAGAGGACACAATGGCAGCCAGGCACATTCCCAAACCCCCTGCTCACAGCTACCAAGAATAAAGCAGAGTCCAACACAAGACCATAGTGGAGTAGCATGGACATCAGATCTGTAAGTTTATTTGCTCAATGTACGACGGCTACATAATGACTCACATTCATGATATTCCATCACTGAGGAAAACTGCTAAGAATGGTCCGTGTGTGAAATAATTCCTTACAGAAACACGGAGTTGGAAAAATAATCACTGATTAGACCTTAAAAAGAGTTCACTGCATAACATGACAGAAAAGCACAAACAAAGGCTCATTCAAAGAACATAGTCATTTTTCTCCTACACTGTAATAGTTATAATTTCACCATGACGAACACCAGACATTAAGATTAAGCTAACACTGGTGTTTTCTTTGCTTTCCTTTTTTTAAAAAAAATCATATATAATTGCATGTCACTATAGCAACATCCATAACAGATCAGTTTTGTTACGATCACTATTTGGTAGAGCAAACTTTACCCCCAAAAAAGGAAAAATAAAATAAATTAAAAAATTTTAAAAAATTGTTGAAGACTATTGTCATAGGAATACATAACACCTACAGTATAAGTTAATAAATTTCAAGCTACTTTATAGAAATACAACACCAGCATGCACAATATTGTATCAATAGAATAATGGAGCAGTTATTCATTTCACTGGAGAAACAGTTATCATAGGCAAGTGCATTTCTTTAACAAAAAATTGAAAGAAACCATTCAAGCTGCTCGCATCCCCAACCCCCTGCCCCCCACTCCATATTTAGCCCTCTTGTGCGATCTTTTTCCCCTGCATAAAGTTTTCCTAAAGCAGCCAGAGCTAGAAGCTGGAAAAAAAAAAATCAAGAAAAGTTTTGTAATTCCAGTAAATCACTTCCAAATCAAAGCCAGGGATACGTACTGCTCACACAACATGACTGCAAATTAAAGAGAAGCCTTAAAATGTCCTTCCAGTCCACAGTATTTCTTAGAGGTTTCACTCAGTCACTCAAGTTGCAAGCCTCTCCTCCTTAGTAGAGCCAGGAGGATGCACAAAGCAGACTACTGGTGTGGCACTTTACTGAAGTGGCCCTGAAGGGAATGTATATTACCACACTGCAACAAAGTACAATTTGTTTGTTAAAATGTATCCGCATTGGATACATTGATGCTGATTTGCCAGCTTTTTGCAATATCAACCCATCTTAAACTTTTACTTTCTTTGGAATTGCAGATCTTCAAGAAAGCTCACCCTACTGTCCAGGTGCATTGTAGCAAACTAAATAGAAAAAAGTCTAGGCCATCATGAGAAACAAGATATTCCTTTTCCACAGAGGGAAATAAATCTATTTGTACAATGGAAATCATTAGAGCCCTGTTTTCTTCTAAGGTGCTTTTGACTAACAAAAGCTGTATTTAAAATAAAAACCCTATAATTAACAAAGGGAAAAAAAGCAATGAATTTCCAACCACTATGATTTATTTCCATAAATGGATGACAAAAATTCCTGATCAGCTGTAGTTTTTCTCCAATTCCCAATATATTAAGTATCGCAAATGAACAGAATTTTCTGTACATGTTTGAAATAGGCCAAGATTTGTTAAATCTTGTTACTAGTTAAAAAGGATACTGGCATCAGATACTTTTCTCTGTTGGTGTTTCTATCCTGATAGATTCACTTATAATCATAGGCTTGCAATACAGAAAGGCCCTGCCTTCAATACGGGCAACAAAGGAAAGGTCAGAGGCATAGGAAAAAGAGGCAGAGGAGATCTACTGATAATCTTTTGATTATGCTAGGAGAAACCTAAGATTATGAGCAAACTGACAGCAGGATCCCTGAGGATGGACTATGACACCTTTCCTCTTCCTTTGAAAAAGAAATGGCCTTGGAAAATTCCAGACACTGAATGAGAAAAATACAGGTCTGGATTAACAATAATCAAATGGCATTATGTTTTAAGAACTTATCTTATCCAATTTAAATTCTGAATCCTTTCCTGTGAATTCCTGTACTTCATATAACTGCTTGCCAAGCATCTATTAAAATATGGCAAAGGGATCAGAAGATGAATGGTTTTCATGCAGTATTCAGACATCTGGAAAACTGATTTCCAGATGCAAGCTACAAAAGAACATTAAGTCAGAAAGAAGAAGCAAATTTAAACTCAAAAAGCTTGGTGTAAAATATGGCTGTTGTGTAGAAATACTGTAAACTGTAATTTACGGTTAATACTGCAGGCTATCTCCAGCACCTAAACTCCAATGCTTATGATTTTAGAATCTTGGAATCTTTTTAAAATTACACCATAATAAATGGGAACGCAAATCTTCCAAAATTGGAGGTGGACAGTAGAGAGACAAGACAAAAACTTCATCTTAACATAGTGTGACATTTCATTGAGAAGAGAATGACTGGGAAACCTTACTGGAACCACAGAACAGCTTCTCAAACAAACAAACAAACAAAAAGAAATCAAACCAAGGGAAAAAAAGAGAGAGGGCCATTCCATTCAAGTTAGTCGTCATTAACTTCATGTATGCCTAGCAATTAAGATAACTTAAAGACAGCTCCCCTTGAATTAATAATCAACTGAACAGTCCATATGCCATTGTGAGGCTGCTATTCTACTCCATACCACCACAGCCAGCCTGATTTTCCCCTAGTGGTGTTTTGGCAAAAGTGTCACAGAGGCAATCAAAGACAGGTTGCGGGGAGCCTCCCTGGAAGATCACACCTCCTTTTCCCCTACCCCACCCCTGACCCCCTCCCCCCCACTTTTCACTTGTGGGAAAAAAAATAAAGACTGCAGTAGTAGCATCGGCGTGCGGCTGCCAGTCCATCCAAAGGTTCTAGTTGTTGCCTTCACCACCGTCATCATCTTGCTGGTCGCTTGTCCAGAGTGTTAGGTTATCACGGAGCAGCTGCATGATGAGCGTTGAGTCCTTGTAGGAATCCTCGTTGAGGGTGTCCAGCTCAGCAATGGCATCATCAAAAGCCGTCTTGGCCAGGTGGCATGCCTGTTCAGGGGCATTCTGGATCTCATAGTAGAAAACAGAGTAGTTAAGGGCCAGGCCAAGTCGGATGGGGTGAGTTGGCTGCATGTGTTCCTTGCTAATCTCATGAGCTTCATTGTATGCCTTCTCAGAGGATTCCACCACAGTCGCTCTCTTCTCCCCTGTGGCCACCTCAGCAAGATAGCGATAATAGTCCCCTTTCATCTTCAAGTAGAAGACTTTGCTCTCATATTGGGTCTCGCTGCAGTTCTTGATCAGGTAGTTGTCTAGGAGACTGAGTACATCCTGGCACACCGCTTCCAACTCCTTCTCAATCTTCTCACGATAAGCCCGCACCATCTCAATTTTCTTCTCATTGCCATCAGCAGAAGTCTTCTGCTCAATGCTACTAATTACTCGCCAAGAGGAGCGTCGGGCCCCAACTACATTCTTGTAAGCTACGGACAAGAGGTTTCTTTCTTCATTGGACAGTGGCTCATTCAGCTCTGTCACCTGTATGAGACAGAGGATGACAAAATATACTTAATAACTTTGCTTTTTCACTCGAAACCATGCCACTTTTAAATTGAACTCAGTGAAATCTTTCTCACCAACCCACTACAGTAGAAGTCAGAGGAATCTTTTTTTAAATACATCATAACATTTTCACCCCATTACTGACTTGCTAGCTGAAATAATGTCATGCAAAAATTGGGCAATTTGAGAGTTATGAAAGTTAAAAAGTATGGCCCAGACCAAAGAAAGTTACTAGCAGTAATTAAAATTAATACAGCTTGTACCCAACTTAAAATCAGTCTGTTCAAATTCTGCCGGGGGTGGTGATGGTGGTATTTATGTCCCAAATTCAAAAGTTCCAACTTGCTCACCAACCATTTGCATCATCCTATTGTCAATTGATTATGTTTTATAAACTTTTTATCAAAAACTGACATTTACTCTCATTTTTCAGCAAAATTCTATCATAGCAAGTGGTGCCAAGGTTAAGAATGCTGTATTGCAGGCTAATTCTGCCCACTGCCAGGAGTTCAATTCTCACCGGCTCAAGGCTGACTCAGCTTTCATCCTTCCGAGGTCGTTAGAATGAGGACCCAGATTGTTGGGGGCGATATAAGTTACAACTGTGATAAGCAGGCTCCATTACAGTAGTACTCGAAGACTACCTCTACTAGGAACATTACCACTAAAGTAAATTTTGTTTTAAAAATTTTGGCTAGAAATAAATAATTCCAAAATTATATTAGGTTATAAAGATCACTGGGTGTAAAAAAGAATATATTTTGCTTCTCAAAATTTGATGAACACTATTTTAGAAGGAGGTTCTTTAGAAATGAACTAACTCAGAGAACTGTGGAACTCAAGTCTGAAAGGCAGCAATTTGAAATCAAAGTCACAGAATGATCATGGAAAAAATATACAGGAAGAAAGCCAGGCAACAAGATTGAAAAAAATATGCTAGTAAGAGACACAAATGTGCTATGCAGATAAGACAAATGGAGAAATTTGAAACTCAAAATACTACTGAGGTCCTAGTCCCCTGATTTTCATGTTATTTTTCATGGTCTATAAAACTTGGAAAGTATTCCTAAAAAAAGAATCTGATCCCAGAAGTCAAAGTCTTCTTGTATGCTCTAATGACATTTTTATGCTAAATTTAGCATGACCACTATGGTTAATTTTGGCAAGCAAGTAACCAAAGTTAGTCGTTTGCAGTCCTAAGCAATGGTGTCACAATTACCACAAAAATGCCTGTATCTTGCCAATACAGGAACTTGGCATCTACCAAAGTGGGAATATCTGTATTTGGCACACTGACAATAATAAAAAAAATAAACGTAGGCTACACCTCTTGCGGAAATACACCAAATTAAGAGTAGAAACTATCTGCACAAGTGGAGCTATTATTTTCTAATGCATTAAACAATTTTAGATTGCTCATGGTGGAAGTACTTAATCAGCAACATCAATTAACCTGGTACCAGAGTTTCAAAGTTGTATATACTTCCTCTAATCAGGGACAGACTCAGCAAAAGCAGGCATGTGGCAGCCTCCAGCAAGAGCATCAAGATGGGATCCTTGTGACAGCAAGGCAAATGGGTATCATATTTAAGAATGCCATTCTGCTACCTACGCAGCATTTTTCTATTTTAGGCCACGGAGTATTCAATTTTTTTTATTTTGCTTTATAAAATATACTAGAAAGCTTTTTAGGCTTTAATCATTCTTTAGAAGAAGACACTGTCTCTTAACAATTTTCCTGAGATTTGATATCTGCTAAGAAGTAAACCTAGCATCTAAGAAGTTTATAAACCTGGAAAAGGGTTTACACTTTAGATGGACAGCACTGTGCAGTATATCAAGTAAGCCTTCTAATTTATGACAGATCCACAGATTCCTGATATTCTGGAACAATACAAAAGACCAAAGCAGACCTGAAACGTCTCCTAGCACAGAAGCACTTCTAAGGCAGCTGCTGCAGTTAGACACCTATAATATTGTATACGATACAAGTGATAAAATTACAAATAGACGTATGTTCTTTTGTTTAAAAAAGAAACAACCAGTATCCCCAATTAGTGTTGTTTATCTGCAAAATGTTAGAAATTTAGGTAAAACAGGAATGAAGCACTATTGGTAAATTTGTGCAAAGTCCTATGATAAAAAATGTATGATTTTTATAAACTCTATATTTATAATCTTATAAATCTATATAATCTTAACTTTACTCTAGATCAGCCTTTTCCTAGAAAGCTCCAAATGTTTTGAACTGTATCAGCCTTGGCCAATATGATCAATAGGTACACAAAATACCATTTCTTTAAAGTTGTAAATCAATCATTATAGATACTAGTATTCTATTTGTAAAAACAAACTTGCAAGCAGCGCCACATTAAATTTATCCCAACTACTGCTATTAAGTGCTAAAAATTACTAAACCAATATACAATTTGCACATTTATTGGCAGGCAAAACGGATTTCCAGAATATCTGCTGTTTTAACATTTTAATGATATAGCTGAAGGTACTGGGGGTCTTTTTGCCACCAAACTATAGAGCAGTGGTTCTTAACCTGGGAGATATCGCCCCCCCCCAGGGGGCAATTTCATTTTTCAGGGGGGCGATGGAACAAAAGGAGCGATGCAGGGGCAATATGGGGGCAATGGAGCAAGAATTTTGGGGACACTTTTGAGCCTTCCCCTACAGCTCTGAGCCTCCTCCACCATTTGCAGAGAGAAACAGAGAGAGGCACTTGTGCTTCTCTCTCTCTCTCTCTCTCTCTCTCTCTCTCTCTCTCTCTCTCTCTCTCCCCCCTCTCCCTCTCTCGTGCAGATTTGCCCCCTCACAGGGCTCCTGATTGGGCCTGCGCCCGGGTGCCCCGCTCCCTGGGAGAAGCACAGCCAGGAAGTCCCTTTCCCTGACTGGCCCCAAGGTGTACGTGGCCGGGGAACCGTGTGGGGAAGCCCCGGGTTCCCGGGTTCCCCACTGGAAGCAGCCCACCAGAGCCTCAGCTGAGCAGGCCAGCCTTCCCGCAAGCCGCGGCCCTGAGGGAGCGATGCCTCCGTCGGCCCAGCCGCGGGACTGTTGGCCCAGCTGACTGGGAAGGCGCGCCGGAGTCCCAGCTGTTTTGTCAGTGAAGAATATGAGGTGAGCAGAAGATGGGGGGTGAGAGAAAGGGAGGGGGAAGGCATTTTCCAACCAGCAGCAGAAGAGCCCTAACAGGAGCTGCGGGAGCGCCTCCTCCTAGGGCCCGGTGCTGGCTTCCTTGCCCTCCTCCTCCTCCTCCCCTTCTTCTTCCTGCTGCCCCCTGGGCGGCAGTCCTGGCTGGGCCGGCGGGGGCATCGCTCCCTGGGCGATACTGGTGGGTCACAGATTGCCGGGAACGCTGTGTGGTGCGTAGCAGCCCCAGCTCCTCCAGCACACCGGACCTACTGGCAGCACAGGAGGCTCCAGTGTTGGTCCTGGCGGGAGGCGGATCGTAGCCCCGGTTCTGACCGAGGATGCCGGCGGCGCGGAAGGCGGTTTGGCGACGCAGCTAACGGGGGGGGGCGTTCCGCAGATGCCCCACGACTTAAGCCCAGGGACGCCGGCGGCGCAAGGGGAGACTTGGAGATGCAGCCGACGGGCAGGGCATTCCGCAGATGCCTCGTGGCCCCGATTTGAGCCCGGAAATGCCAGTGGCATGTGGGGCGGCCTGCCAGCATGATCGTGAGCCGGGGTGTCCCCGCAGGCCCAGCAGGCAGCAGAGCTGGGTGCCTCCAGCGGCGACAGGGGGTCTTCTGCTGCCTCCTGCCCCCCTCCCGGCCCCTTCAGCACCCTCTGCCTTTCATTCTCTCTCTCTCTCCTCACCTGGCGAAAGAAGGGGGGAGGGAGGGAGAGGAAAGAGAGAAGGAGATGGGAAAGAAGAAAAAAGAGAGAGAAGAAAGAGAGAGGAAGCACAAGTGCTTCTCTCTCCCTCTCTCTCTCACACACACACACTGAGTGGGGGAAGAGGACTGGCAGAACAAGGGCAGAAAGAGAGAGGGGGGAGGGAGGGAGGGCACCAAAATTTTTCACACAGTTGAGATATGGGAAAAAGACTGGAAATAAATTATTTGCATCATATGTCCTGATGACAATTTTAAAGAAAACAAAAAAAAGTGTTTGCATAAATTGAAGAATTATTTCCTATGTTGTGATTGAGCATTTATGTTGGGGGAGGGGCGATGATAACTTCTTCATTGGCTCAAGGGGGCGATTCGTTCAAAAAGGTTAAGAACCGCTGCTATAGAGTTTCATAATAAAACAACTCAGCTTTCGCAGTGAGGCCAAATGTTACATATCAATTTCACAAGCTGGAGTCAAGGAGTAAAATGGACTGTACAATTCTGTATTTTTCTTTTGAAAATTGTACAGGTCTAACCTAAGTCAAACTTCACCATTGGAAACAGGCTAGAACAGACACAGCTTCATTTATATACGTATATATGTCAATGAAATTAATTTGACCCAAAATTAGCTTTAATAGAAAAATATAAGAATGTTTAGATACACATTGTTTTCTGCTTTTTGTATGTTTTTACATCACCAATATTGTGTTTATAATTCATTTTGTATTATATACTCAGGAAGGGTGATACTCAAGGGTGATATATATCCTTAGTTGAAGGTAAATATTTGTGGATGGGAAGACATTCAGTACTATACTATTGTTTGTTACTGCTCTCTGCAGTGGCCAGTTTTCCTCACAATTTAGATATATTGCTAGGGTATAAAATCCTCATCGTAAGCAAAGGCTTCTCTGGGCCTACTATTCTGTTTACAGTCTTGTATAGTAATAGAGGACCAAGGATACTCATGATTTGTTTTTAAATAGCAATAAACTTTAGTTCATTAGTTATTTCAGAAATTGCTTTTCAAAACAACCATTAAATGCTACTTGATTTCAAAGAATTATCTTCAGCAAGTAAATAATTTTAATTACAGATAGTATTAAACTCTAATTTGGAAAGTCTCAT